TTGGAGTTCCAGCTTTTAGAAAAGAAAGTCAAGGCAGGGGCTTTGGTGCACACCTGTAATCCCAGGGGATCGGGAGGCTGAGGCAGGAGGATCACGAGTTCAAAGCCAGCCTCAGCAATGGTGAGGCACTAAGCAACCAACTCAGTGAGACCCTGTCTCTAAATAAAGTTCAAAATAGGGCTGGGGATGTGGCTCAGTGGTCGAGTGCCCCTGGGTTCAATCCCCAGTACCAAAAAAAAAAAAAAGAAAGAAAAAAGAAAAGAAAAAGAAAATCCAGTGAGGTTTAGCAGGGCTGGAGATGGGTATTTATCTGCCCCACACATTTTGTGCAGTTATTATCAGGTGGACATCTAAAACCTGTATGTTCTACCGTCACATCTATCTTAAAGGCTTATTATATCATGGTAGAACACAGTGCATATTCCTCTGTCACTTATTTTTTTACCCCATATCCATTTCGGAGACTCGGCTGTACTGACGCCTATTGATCTGGCGGACTCATTTGAACTGTGTAGAAGATTCCACTGGATATAAAGCAGTTAGGTTCCCTGCTTTCCTGTTGAGAGGCAGATAGCGTCTCTTTGCTTTTCTATCCCATGCTAAGGTGCATGGGCATCCGTGTCCTCTTGCAGACGTGTGTTTCTCTGGGGTACCGCGGGAGGCGCTGTTGGTGTCCCATCCGGGTACTTTTTATCTGCATGTGGGTCCACCCCTGGCTGCAGTAAGGGCTGATGCTGAGGGCTCATAGCTGCTCTCTTCCTTGTAAACTCCTCCCGCAGGAAGCTCTAGCCCCCTGTGGGATAGCCCATGCCAGTGACTGACTAAAATGGGGTTCAGCATATGGGCTCTTGCCTGAAAAAAAGATCAACTCTGGTGTCATGAGTGTTCCCCAGTTCCCCTGGGGTCTGACTGAAGCTAATCTCTCACTGAGAACGCTTATTTGGCAGGGGGAGGTATTAGGGATTGAACCCAGGGGTGCTCTACCACTGAGTTACACCCCAGCCCTTTTTACTTTTTATTTTGAGACAGGATCTTGTTAAGTTGCTGGGGCTGGCCTTGAACTTGCTATCCTCCTGCCTCAGCCTCCCGTGAGAACCCACCATTGCTTAGCACTTCCTCCCAACGGTAAATGCATCACTGCTCTCAGAACTGTCTCTCAATAAGTCACCTGCACTAGAATCTCCATCCAGGTCCTGTTGGGAAACCTAACTCAAGGGCCACACACAGTGGTGGAGTTGCTGGGGTCATAGACTTGTTCCTTTTAATGTTTACTAAGCATTTCCAAATTGCTCCACAAAGTACTTATGTTGATTTCATTCCCACCTGCAGTTTATAAATGTTGATGTCTCCCCCATACCTTCATCAATACTAGTACTCTGCCAATCAGATTGGTGTAACATGCTATCTGATTATTGTTTTAATTTGCATTTCCAAGTTTACTAGTTGAGAATCTCTTTCATATACTTTTGTGTGTGTGTGATGCTGGGGACGGAACCCAGGGCCTCATGCGTATTAGGCAAGTCTCTACTGTTGAACTAACCAGCCCTTTTTTAGAGTTTTAAGAAATTATTTTGGGGCTGAGGTTGTAGCTCAGTGGTAAAGCACTTGCCTAGCATGTGTGAAGCACTGGGTTCGATCCTCAGCACCTCATATAAATAAATAAAATAAAGGTCCATCGACAACTAGAAAAAAAAATATTTAAAAAAATTATTTTGGAGACCAATTCCGTTATCCAGTTTTCAAATGTTTTCACCTAGTCTGTGGCTTTTTAAAAAAACATTCATATTTTTGCATTATATAGACGTTCTTAATTTTAATGAAATAAAGCTTGTCATTGTTTTTATCATTTATGCTTTTTGTCTTATTTACCTTCTACTCTAAGATCATGAAGTTTTTTGGTCTATTTTCTTTCAAAAGTTTTATAATGGGTTGGGGATGTGACTCAGTGGTAGAATGCTTGCCTATCATGTGTGAGGACCTGGGTTCCAGCCCCAGCACCACACACACACACACACACACACACACACACTCACACACACTCACACACACATTTACATTAATCCTAGAGGTAAATTTTTCTGAAACTTATTTTGTGGGCTGTGTGAGCAGAGACCCAATCTGACCTTGTTCCACGGTATTCAGTTGTCCCAACGTCATCCATCCACCAGACCATGGACCACCCTTGGTTGTGTCCAAACTCCATATGTACTGGGGACTGTCCCAGGGCATTATTTCCTGTTCTTTTTATCTGTTGATCTGTTTCTGGGTCAGAATCCAACTCTCTTCAGTACTGGAGCTTCGTGTTGATATCAGCTAGGGTGGGGCTCCCTTTCTCTTCTCCCTCTTTCTTCTCCAAATTGCCTTGGCTATTCTGGGCTCTTTATTATTCCATATATTTGGGGGATGACCTTGTCATGTTTCTGGGGAAACTCTGCAGTGTGGTTCTTACTGGAAGTCTACCGAGCAGATACAGCTGGGGGGAAACAGCCAACTTGCGTGGGCGAGGCTCCATTCTAGGAGGATGCCTAGAAAATGAGCCTCCAAATCTCCCATCCATCCCACAGTGCCCAACTAAAATGCTCCCTCCTCCAGGAAGCCCTTGGTGACAGTTCTGGGTGTCCGGGCTCTCCCTGGCCTCTTCTGACCCTCCATAGGCTCCATTTCCTGGACCCTTAGCACAGCGGATCCAGGTGAGGGCCCCTGTGTGCCCTCTGCTCCTCCACCTAGTCTCTAAGCTCTAAAGATCAGGGCTGCGTCTCGCTCAGCTTTGTACCCCGAGTGGCACTCAGCACACAGTAGGTCTTCTATAAGTCTGATGACTGGTTTTTAAGGGAAGAGAGGATGTGGGCATAGGATTTTCCTCCTAGGAAGCAGCTGGTCTCCTGGTGGGCTTGAAATGGGACAGATGGAGCTTCAGGTAGGGGTTCTGCCACGCAGGGCGCTGGCCTGACGTGCTTTTGCCCTATTGATTCTCCCGGTTGCCACTTTCCCAAGCAGGAGATGCCGTACTTGCTCATCCCCATGACTGCTGAGCATCTTCCCCCAACGTCCGAGCCATTGGCTCCAAGGACATAATTGGGTTCTGCTGTGCCCCTGTCTCCCGCCAGCCTCTCATGCCACCACCCTGGCTGCTCCTGCTGCTGCACCCTCCGCTGCAGAGAGGAGGTGGGTCTTTGGCTCCTGGTGTAATTACGGACAAGCCCACACCTTCCCTTCCTGCCCCACAGTCCTGGTTCCCAGGAGCTGCTCCTTCCTCATGTGGTCCTCCACCAGCGGGTGGCTTTCCCCGCCCCATGCCTGACTTGAGGCAAGTTGAGCCCCGTGAGCCTCGACCTCTCCTCAGGTGAAACGCGGGCACCTTTTCTCCCTCCCGGGATAGAAGAGAAGCCCCGAAGAGAGAGGTGCTCCCGGCAGCACCTCTCCTAGGGGTGCTCCTTCCCTCCCAGGAGGGACAGAAAAGTGGGGACACAGGCAAAGATGAGGCAGAATTTATTTTCATTGTAGTTAAGTTCAAGACTCAGGATGGGGACCACAGAGAGGCAGGCCCCTGGGACCCAGGGGGACCCGCTCCTGGGGCAGGGGCCACACTTTTGCAAGTGCCAGGCCCACGTGTTCCCACACGTGACTGTCAGGATCCCGAGCGCAGAAACCAGGTGAGAGCGGGTGGGCGGAAGACGGGCTCTCGGCTGCGTCCTGACCACGTTTCCCCTTCCATAGGAAGGAAGAGCAGCTCGGCCCAGGGCAGCAGAACGCAGAGGGCAGGGCGAGCTGCCGCGGCACCGGGACCGCTGAGACGCCCCGAATTATTGCAGGAGGGAGAGGGGGCTCAGTGCTGGTGCCTCCGCGGTAGCTGTGCTGGCTATGGCGAGGGGCTGGGCAGGGGCAGCGCGGCGGGCCCCTCCCTCTGGGGAGCGCAGGGCACCCGGTGGCGTTCCTTGGGTCCTGCCTGCCAACCCCCCCGGGATGGGGCTTTCTCACCCTGGGTGCTTTTTATGTGCTTCGAAGACCATTTTTGCATTGTCAGGAGTGAGGAAAAATATTCCGACATGATAGAAAACATATTTACATACCCTGGTGGGCCGTCAGGGGGAGGGTCAGATTGCGAGGGGCGGGGCTTCCCTGGCCCCTCCCACCGCCCGGGGCCAGTACCTTGAGACGGGCCCTAGGCTGGGAGGACAGAGGC